TGTGTTCCTGTGATGTTAGAGCTATGACACCAGTATTTCAAATACCAGCAGGGTCATCCATGGTGGACAGGTATCAGTGGAGCTTCCAGAGTAAGACAGATTAGGAAGAAAGGTCTGGTGATTTCCTTCCAAAAATCAGCCAATGAAAACCTTATGGATTATAATAGAACATGGTCTGACTTGCTTGCTTTGAAGACGCGTCACGAGGAGGGATCAATAGCTAGAGGAGAACATCATGTTTGGTGAAGTAGAGGACCAGTAAGGGTCAGGAAACCCTTGTTAGGATGGATTGACACAATAGCCACAACAATGGACCCAAACATGTTGGTGATTGTGGGGATGACCCAGGACCAGGCAGTGTTTTGATCTGTTGTACTAGGGGTCATCATAAGTCAGAGTACACTAGATAGCAGCTAAGAATAACAATTATTTTGGTTATAAAACTTCATTAAGAATGTGTTATGGATTGAATTGTGCCCCCCAGAAAATGTGCTGTAAATCCTAACCCCCATACCTAGCCCTGGTGGTGCAACAGTTAAACACTCAGCTGCTAACTAAAAGGTTGGTGATTCAAACGTGCCCAGTGGCTCCTCAGGAGAAAGACCTGGCAATGTGTTCCTGTGAAGACTGTAGTCTAGAAAACCCAATAGGGCAGTTTTACTCTGTCACATGGGGTCACTATTAAGTAGAAAATTGTGTGGAAGGCATCTAACAAATAACAGCATACCTTGCATGTAATTCTATTTGGGAATAGGGTTTTGTTATGTTAATGAGTCCATATCAGTACAGGGTGTGTCTTAAACCAATCACTTTTGAGATATAAGAGTAGATTAGGCACAGAAGAAAGCAAGCACAGATGGGGACATATAGATTCCAGGGCACATGAAGATTGTCAAGGATCCAAGGAATAGAAGCTGAAAAGAGACAAGGACCTTCTCCCAGAATGGAAAGAGACAGATAGCAAGTTTTCCCCTAGAGCTAACCAATAAAACCAAACCCACTGCTGCCCACTTGATTCCAACTCACAGTGACCCTACAGGACAGAGTAGGACTGCCCCATAAGGCTTCCAAAGCTGTAAGTCTTCACTGAAGCACACTGTCACATCTTTCTTCCATAGAGCAGCTGGTGGGTTCAAACAATCGACCTTTTGGTTAGCAGCTGAGCATTTTAACCACTGTTAAATTATTTAAATTAAATTTAATTAATGTTAACCAGGGCTTCTTTCCATAGACAGTGCCCTGAATTCAGACTTCTAGCTTCCTAAACTGTGAGATAATAAATTTCTGTTTGTTAAAGCCACACACTTGTGGTATTCTGTTATAGCAGCACTAGGAAACCAGGGCAGCATGTCTTTACTACAGGTGGGCTAAGGTTAATATTTATAGTCTCTCTGTCATGAAAGAGGTATGTCAGAAAATTGCAGATAGTATTTTTAACTTCCTTAAGAAAGTAAGTTATTTCTCAGGGCTTTAATCCTGTGAGCCTGAGGGTGCTGCTGCACCTCCCATGACTATAGCATTTCTGCTATGACTGGTGGGCTGCCTGGAGGTGGTGGTGGGCCATCAGGGGGCAAGAATCAGAGGAGACTATGCTTCCATTAACTGGCTGAGGGGCCTTTGGGAATGATGAAAGGCACCATTCTTTGCATCTCTGTACTTTAGTGACCCTGCATTAAGGGTCAGTGCTAGACTCACTGCTGTTGTTAGCTGCCATGTACTCAGCTCCAACTCAAGATGACCCCATGCAAAATGGAACAAAATGCTGCCCAGTTTTGTAGCATCTTCATGATTGGCTGTGGATTGGACTGTTTTAATTGGCTGATTTTCAGTAGATTGTAAAGTCTTTCATCCTAGTCCATCTCAGTCTGGAAGCTCTGCTGAAACCTATTCAGCATCACAGCGACATGCAAGCTTCCACTGACAAATGGGTGATGACTGTGCATGAGGTGCACTGGACGGGAATGGAACCTGTATCTCCCTCATGGGAGGTGAGAATTCTACCACTGAACCATAACTGCCTTCTTAGTACCAGTTAATAAAGGTAATGATGGTGGTGGTGGAGCCACTGAGAATGACTGGGGGAGGGGGCATGTGTTTCAAGGTCATTCTCATCATATCCAAGGGAAAAGCAGGCTAGGCTCTTCTTTGATGGTGACCTGAAGACCACAGACTTACAGTTATTCAAATACCTGCAACAGCATTTCGACCTGTTCCATTGACCAAATATCTGAAAATTTCTCCCTTACAGCACAAGGTAGACTCCCTTGTAGAAAAGGATGTGATTAGAACCAAGGTAATGGAAGGGGCCATAGACACTAATCACTCAGCTGTTGTTGTTGTGAAGTGTCATTGAGTTGGTTCCGACTCATAGCGACCCTATGTACAACAGAATGAAACACTGCCTGCCTGGTCACTGATCACTTAAAGCTGAAATTACATCCATCGAGTAATATACATTGTGCTCCCCAGAGAATTTCAGGATAATTAGAAAGGTGAAGGCTGGTGGTTCAAACCCACCAGCCACTCCTTGGAAGGAAGGTTGGGCAATCTATTTCTGTAGTGATACTCCCTTGGAGATGCAAGGAGGGGTTGCTATAAGTTGGATCTGACTCGACGGCAGCGAATTTGGTTTTTTGGTTTCATATTGATGAAACCACAGCACAAGATGCTTGTGGTGACTTGGCTGAGCCTACTGTAAAGGGTAAACAAAGTGTTCTTACTTGGGAAGTCATTAGGAAGCATGTTCTAGCAATTCTAAGAAACTATGATAGCACATCATCAGGATGGCCCATATGAGGGTGTCACTGATGAAGGAAATAAGTACTGCACTTGGCTGGCAGAAGCTTATAAAGAAGTGTCAGCAATTGTCTGATTTCACAATAATAATAAGAGATTTTCTCATATCATCTAAGGGGCAGGACCCTGCTCAACCCCATGTGCCCCTTGTCACTGCATCCTTCCCTGGGAAGACAGCTTGCCAAGACTCACGGGCACAAGTGCTTATCAACACACATATCCCTGTTTGATAACTAAACCAGGCAAGGTTGAAGGACTCTGGACATTGTCTAGATTTTCCCCCCCAAAAAAATCGCAGGTGTGGGCTGATTAGGACTTTTCAGATAAAAAAAAAAAAAAAAAAAAAAATCCACTAGGCTTGGAGCAGCTTGCTGGAGGAATTATCTTAGAAGTTATCTTATGTCTGTGTCTTCTGCCTTCTTCCTTTTATTCCGCCTTTTGCGTACTCACCTATACACCGAGCATCAGGAAAGTAAAGAACAAAGTGACTGGCAGGGAGCATGGGCTGAGCATGGGGACTGCTTTCTGATAAAGTGGTCTTGTGATGATGGCCACAGTCAGGATCTTTCCTTCATGTCCCCACCCCAGAATTGACAATGTGTATGATATTTCCTGAAACAGAGTAGCAGACTTGGGTTTGGAGGGTCAACTTTGGAAGGTGTGGAGAGATCCTGAAGCATCAACAGCCACATGGTATCCAGAAACAGTTTGTCTTTTGCTAATGAAAACCAGAGGCCCCTGCAGTGGCACTGGGTGAGGAAACCATTCAGCCTCACTCTAGAGCCAGTCAGTGGAGGCCAAGTATGGAAAAGCTAAGATCCGAGGAAAGACCTGACTGCTATTCTCTGAGAAAGGGTTGGCTGGTGCCATGCTGGCACTCCCAACTCTGTTCTGCCTGCTGGCTAGTCCTTCATCTCCTCTCACTCTCTGTAGGCTCTTCTCTTAAGGGCATGGTGGGGAGGGCAATGTGTGTGTATGAGCCTGGCTGTAGGGAGGACAGGGAGGAGGAGTAGGTAGCTAGGGTGGGGGGAGGGCTCTAGGGGCCCACCCACAGAATTCTCCAAAGCTAGCTGAACTAGGCCATCAGGAAACAGGCTACATTTGACATAATTCAGGGTGGTATGGCCTAGGTCATGCCCCTCAAGGCCCTGAACACCTGCAGTCTCCTGACTGCCCATCCAATATTGCAGATGCTACAGCAGTACATCAGCAGAAGGATGCTCCTTCAGCTACATCCGCTAAGGCATGAGTGGGGAGGACCTGGGCACATGGGCCCCTTAGCCCATGCAGGTGGAAATGAAGGCAGAGCAGGAGTTTCCTCCCTCCATCCCTTCCTCCTTTCCCTTTGGTCTTCCTTCCTTCCTTCTTCCCAATCCCCATTCCTCTTTCTTGCCTTCTTTCCCTCTCTCCCTCTCTCCCTTTGCCTTTGTCTTTTTAAATAACATTTATCACAGTTCTGATGAGTCCTAGAAGTACAACATTAGGATAGGTTTGTGAACCATATTCCAGTGGGTACAGTGTTCCCCAAAATAGACACATTCACCTCATTGGGTCCTATGTGCAAAGGAAGCTGCTGAGTTGTTATGTCTTTTGTACCTAAACAGAGTATAGTTTATCCAAGATCATATGGTTATATACATCCTAGTCTCATCTTCAGGAGCTCTGGTGGTATAGCACCTAAGGCATTTGACTGTTAACCAGAAGGCTGGCAGTTCAAACCCACCAGCCACTCCTCAGAAGGAAGACTGGGGAATCTACTTCTGTAGAGATACTGCCTCAGAAATCCAAGGAGGGGTCGCTATGAGTTGGATCTGATTCAATGGCAGTGGTTTGGTTTGGTTTTTGGTAGTCTCATCTTCATATTCTACCTGGTCTTCTGCTTGTTTCTTTGTCATGATGTCTAAAGCTACTTTCATTTTTGTGTTTGTTTGTTTGAGATGATGACAAGGTCTTTACTTTTTACCATCTCAGCTCCCAGTCAGCATGACTTGGGTAGAGACCCCAGATAGGCCTGACACTCCAACCAGCTGCTAGGGGAGGGGTTGCATTCTGGCACCGGCTGCAGAGGGCAGCACTGAGGGCCATTCTTGAGAAAACCCATTCCCCAAAGGGCTCCAGGGCCTTACTGCCCACCCCAAGCCCACTCTGGGGGAAGGCAGCCTCCTCTCCAAAGCCCCTACTGAACCACAGGAAAAGCATTTCACCTGGCACCTGCCGTGCACGCAGAGGTCCGTCTCGTAGGGCCCGCAGGGTGTGCCATCCAGGACCCTGTCAGCCACCAGCAGCGGGGACTCCTTCCCGAGGGGTGAGCAGTAGAGTTCACAGGGCTTATCTGGGGAGGGAAAGGTTGGGGAACATTTACATGGGAACGAGGATGTGGTCACACACAGTACAGGTACATGTGTGAGCCAGGCAATATGATGGGAAGTCACCTGGGCAGTGCTGGCATGAAAGGTAACTTGCATGACTACCCCTTGGAACACCTGACAGACAGGTGGCAAAGGGAAAAGACATGTAGATGCAGGTGAATGACAGAGCATGGATAAGCAGAGTTCTGTGAGTTTTCTTTCTTTCTTATTTCCTCCCAAACTCTTTTATCCTTTGCAAAGATATGGAATTTCCTTTTCCTTAAGGCTGAACAAACATTCTGTTATGTGCTAACCTCTAAGTATGTAAAATGCATTTGAAGGGTGGGCCTGGGAGCAGCCCAGAGTGGGGGTGGGAAAGAAGGAAAAGGAGAATGATCCAGCCAGTCTCCATGGCTTTTGCTAAAAGTTTTAGTGCCCCTCAGCTGCCAGTAAGAGTTGCAGAGCTGTGAAATGTGGCAAGAAGGTGCTGTTAGAATTAGAACTGAATAAAAGTACAGAAAGGGAGCACAGGGGATGTGAGAACAAATTGTAAGAGTCATGTTATGGGCAGGGTGGAAACCCCAGTTTCTGCTGCCCCTTGAACTGCTTGAGGGCTCAGAACATGCCAGGCTTTTATGCCTAGGCTGCTCTCTCTGCCTGGAAGTCTTACCTGCATTTGGCCTTCTGGAAAATTCTTATCACCCTGGAAGCTTCCACTCTAGCACTTTCTCCTCTCATGCCATCTCAGACCAGGGAGGGACAGACATCTTTCTGTACTTTGTGCACCCTCCATTAAAAGTCCCTGCCATTATCCTGTGGGCCTATAGTTGTTTGGTAACTTCCAGATACATGGTTATCTCTCATAAGGAAGGTCCCACTACTAAAGGAGTTTAAAAGGGGTGGATCTTTGTTGTTAGTTGCCATCAAGTTTGCTATGACTCATGTACAAGAATAAAATGTTGTCTGGCCTTGCACCATCTTCCTGATTATTGTATGCTCATTGTTACAGCCAGTGTGTTGTCTGGGTACCTTCCAACCTAGGGGGTTCATCTTCCAGCACTTTATCAGGTAATATTCTGCTATGATCCATAGGGTTTTCATTGGAAGTGGATTTCCAGGCCTTTCTTCCTAGTCCATCTTAATCTGGAAATTCTGCTGAAACCTCCCCATCAAAGATGACTGTGATGGTATTTAAAATGTTGGTGGCATACCCTCCAGAATCATAGCAGCATGCAAGCTACCACAGCATGTCACATTGACAGACTTCATTCTGACAGATGAATCTTAATTACATTTAAGCTGCAAAGTTAACTGGATGGTGAGCTCCATGAGGGCAAGGACCATTCTATTATCCAGATTGCCAGGTCAGGCTTGGGATCTGGCCTGCAGAAAGACTTGGTAAATAGTTTTGAATGAATGAATTTTGTCCTTTTCTATGGAATTATAAATTAGGAATATATCTTTTTCTATCTCTTTTTTCCCAGGTCACCCAGTCCTAATGATGTTTATGTGCTTATTTTGCAATGGGAACTTCCAAAGAGAGAAGCAATATAGTGCCACATGATCACATGAGCCCAGAGAATTCCCCCTGGCACTCTGCTGTAAAGAGGATGCTTCTGGCTCTTAGCACTCCTGCTTCCCTCCCTCTCTAGGCAGGGACAAGGTCTTATAAGGTAGAGACATCATTTAAGTTTGAGGCTATCACAAGGGCTCATCCAAGTCTTTCTCAGGCCTCTGTGGGGATATGTGCCAAGAGTCAGCTCAACTCCATACCAGTAGAGCCACCCATCATGACCTCAGAGCCAGGCCTAGCAAGGAGGTTTCAGGCTCATCTGATTGGACCAGCAGGGGTACCTGACTGTAGCTGGACCAATCAGAGTGTCTCCTAGGAATGCAGTACTGAAACCAGATATGGATAGGATGCTTCTGTTTATGGTTTGCAGATCACAAAGAAGTCTACATTCAACTATCTGCAATTCAGAAATCCAAAAATCTCTGAGAATGTTTTCTGACATTTGTGACACACACATTCAGCATGCTCGCTTCAGCAGCACATATACTAAAATTGGAATGATACAGAGAAGATTAGCATGGCCCCTGCCCAAAGATGACATGCAAATTCGTGAAGTGTTCCATATATTTAGAACAGATATATGCACACCCACATTCATCACAGCACTATTTACAATAGCAAAAAGATGGAAACAACCTAGCTGCCCATCAACAGAAGAATGGATAACCAAACAATGGTACATACACACAATGGAATACTATGCAACACTAAAGAATAATGTAGAATCTACAAACATAATGTGGATGAACTTGGAGGACATTATGCTGAGTGAAATAAGTCAATTACAGAAGGACAAATATTGTATTAGTTCCTATTATAAAAAGTCAAGCAAAGGTTTATATATGGAAGGAAATTTTCTTTGTTGGTTACCAGGGGTGGGGGGGGAGGGGAAGGAACACTGCTAGATAGGTAGAGCCAAGTATTGATTTGGGTGAAGGGAAGGGCAATGTACCAAATGTGAGTGATCAACACGTTGGCATTGAGGAAGAGAAGACAGAGAGGTACATGGGAGGGACAGACAACAAAGATGAACCCTTTTGCATGTACAGTATTGCATTGTCAGTGATGGCAAGCATTGATCTACAGGTAGAAAAATGGGTAGACAGGCTGAATGATTACATATGTCTAGGCAGGGGGTAGTGTGCCCATGACCATGTATAGGGTTAGGAGACAATGTTTCTATAAGTGTATTTGTATGCACTGTAAGAATGTCCAGGTATATAGTAGAGCTGACAAGGGTCAAGGTTGTGGTAGTTTCTTGGCTACAGCCAGCTACCTGAAGGGAGCAAGTAATTGGATCTGTGGGCTCAGGACCATGGTTGCAGGGGACATCAAGCTCAGTTGGCATAACATACTACACAAAAACATTGTTCTACATCCTACTTTGGTGAGTATGACTGGGATCTTAAAAGCTTGCAAGTGGCAATCTAGATGGAGAGATGGGTTTCTCCTTGTCCAGAGCAAAGAATAATAAAGAAAACCAAAGACACAAGGAAACAATTCATCCAAAGGACTGGTAGACCATGCCATCTTCAGCCTATATGACCCTATATGACCATGAGACCAGAAGAACCAGATGGTGCCCAGCTATTACTGTCAACCACTCGGAAGGGGATCTGTGCAGAAGATCCTGAATAGAGTGGGAGAACAAGGTGGAACAAAACTGAAAATCATAAAAAAAAAGAGACCAGGTTTGCTGGTCTGATAGAGCCTGAAGGAACTACTGAGACTATGGCCCCTACTTACCCTTCAGGTCTGGAATTGAACTCATTACTGTGGCTTCCAGCCAAAAAACAGACAGACATAGGGGGTAAACATTTACATCAGGCAGATACACTCCTAGGAGTGAACAATTACGGGAGAATAGAAGGGTAGTGTTTGTATAGGGGCAAGGTTGTGGTGGCTTCTTGGCCACAGCCAGCTACCCGGAGGGAGCAAGTAATTGGACCTGTGGGTTCAGGGGCAGGAGTACATGGGAGGGAAGGATACAGGAAAGAGGTAACTATGAGGAAGAAGTGGGAAGAGAGCTGTTACATTGTGGGGAACTGTAGTCAATGTATGAACTGCTGTATTGCTGTATGCAAAACGAATTTTGCTCTGTAAACTTTCACCCAAATCACAATAAAAATAAAATAATAAAGATCACTGCTTAACAAAAACAAACAAACAAAACATTTAACAGCACAACCAGCCTTGACTGACATGTGGCTCTTGGTAGTCTTTAGTGTCACACCTCACGGGACTAGTCGTAGGTAACCTGGCAGAGACACTGGTGCATCTGATGTGGGGTGCTGCCTCAAGACTCACTAGGGTGTTAGGTGATAGATGGTTGATGCACTATTGTTACCTAACACATATTGTTGTTGTTAGCTGCTGTTGAGTCAGCCTGACACATTGCAACCTCATGTATAACAGAATGAAATGCTGCCCAGTCCTATGCCTTATCCATGTTTCTTTGTTAATCAGACAGTTGTGATCCATAGCATTTTCACTGACTTTTCAGAAGTAGACTGTCAGCCTGGAAGCTCTATGCTCAGCATCAATGCAACATACAAGTCTCCACTGATACCTAAATGCCTCAAATTCTGAAAGAGACCCAAAGGATCTGATGAGGGACTATGGGCTTTGTAAGAGGTACTGGGGCATTGCTGTACCCACCTGCATGTGGACAAGTTGTGAGAAAGCCAGTCTGCACTCAGAAATATGTGCTATGTGGAGGTGGAGGGAAATCCCAACAGTGTCTGAGGCCAAGGAGTCAAACCCTTGTGTGGCCACCTTCATCCTGGCCTTTGGTTCTCATAGGACATGCTGCATCTTTGTATCAAGTTCCCCCTGTTTCATGAAGCAACTCCACTAGCTTGCCAGACTTAGAACGAGAAAGTTCTGACTATCACACCCTCTTGCCCTGGAGGCTCAGACCTAGACTTCTCCAGGGACCCCTCCCTTTCCATGGTATGGGAATGTATCACCACGTCCTGTCCTGGCCTTTGCCAAGCCCTCTGACACTTCTGTGGGCAGGTGGCCTTCCGGCCTGGGCAAGAAGGCTTGAACTCTTAATCAAGATGCCATGGGGAAAGGAAAAATGGGGTGGGTTTGGTAGCGAGCCATCTAAATGGATTTCTGTCTAAAGCCTTTTCCACTTAGAAGTATTTTCTAAGAAGAGTCTTTGTCTTCTTTTTGGAGGTGGTATGGATTTGTGGTCCCAAGTTCTCCCCTGGAAAATCTACCTCTGCAAGAATTTTTTTTTCTTAATAAGAGAAAAAGGAAAAAAATATAGCTTCCCCTTTCTTTAACTGTACGTCACTAGCCAAAGAATTCCACAGTGATAGCAATGCTCTGAATAGGGCAGTCATAATGGGTTTCAGAAGAGCCCAGAGCCCAACCACAGGAATCATTCCTATCAGAGCTGAGGTATAACTGTGCCTTTTATAAACAAAGTTTTCAGAGGAACAGTTACAATCTGTATTCCCTCCTACCCCACCTTCTGAATCAGCCATTTATTATTTTGTTTTCACCCTTGTGAAATGAACCTTTAAAATTTGCTGGCTTCTGTGTATATTAGAGAGAGAAATGCAATCAAATATGCAAGAAGTCATGACAATTCCAATCAAGAGAGGGACTGTGTTAAGCTAGCCTTGCAAAGCCCTGAACTTGGGGTCTTTCTTTCAAAGGCAAAATAGTACTGTCCTTTCACTGTCCTTCTAACTAAGGTTGTACTTTTCAGATCAAAGGCAGTGGTGCTCTGGCTGTAATTATTTATCACTTGGGCAGAAAGAAACAAAAGGCCAGTGGGTAAAAAGACATTCTGAACCCAATGAGCTCCCTAAATAGCTTCGGGTGGGGGGGCTTCCTGGATGGAGGGTCTGCACAGATATAATTTCAGTCACTGTGATGATAAGGGAACCAAGGAGTTCAGCGATCCAAAAGTGGTCGGAAAGTAAAATAGAAGTTTAAAGTAGGCTTGGAGAAATCAGTGGAAAATCAGACATTTAAACAGGATTTCTGCATTGAATCAACGAGGCAGGAGAATTTAGAACTGAAGCAAATGACCAAGGAAAGAATAACAAATTCGTGCACATAGTTGGGTGGAAATGAGAATGGGGTGAGTTTGTCTGAGGTCTGACCTCTTCTTGCTCCTGCAAAATGGGAGAGGATGCAAGAGAGGCTCTAGTGTGTCCTGGTGTTCTAGGGACAGTTGGAGGTTCAGAACTATGCCTCTTGTCATCAGAACCTGCTTCGTGTTGGGAAAAAAGCAGTGCTTGGTGGGTTATCTCCTTCCCAAGTAGGGGTCTGAATGTGCTGAGAAACCTGAAAACCGCCTGTCTCTTCCTGCATCAGACTAGTGGCCAACCAGAGAGAGGAGAGGGTTGTGTGTGAGCATGTACCTTCAGCTGCTCACATGCCTCCTGGGAAGCTGGTCTCTCCATTTCTGCAGGACAAGATCAATGTGTGAAGGCTGCACTTCTCTTGAAGTCAGATAGTTAAGCAACAATACAGCTACCATTACACAGCTGACAAAGGTCTTCCTCTTTTTTTTTTTTTTTTTTAAAGGAACAGGTGTCAAGGGAGTAGCCCAATGTTTTACAATGAATCTACAGCTATATGGATGGGTATTATCTGTTACTATCTAGAACATTCTCCAATCATCTGTCAGCCTGTTGTACTGTGGTGGTTTATGTGTTGCTGTGATGTTGGAAGCTATGCCATAAATATTTCAAACACAAGCAGAGTCACTCAGGCAAGATTCAGTGGAGCTTTAAGATTAAGGCAGAATAGGAAAAAAAGGCCTAGTGATATATTTCTGAAAATTAACCAGTAAAAACCTTATGGATCACAACAGAACATTGTCTGTCTCACTTGCTTTGGACATGTCACCAGGAGGGATCAGTCACTGGGGAGGACAACATGTTTGGTGAGCAGAGGGCCAGTGAAGGTGAGGAGATAGTCAGTGAGGTGGATTGGAACAACAGCTACAGCAATGGACTCAAACGTGCTAGTGATTGTGATGACAACACAGGACAGGACAGTGTTTTATTCTGTTTTACATAAGTTTGCCATGAGTTGGAACAGACTTGATGGCAGCTAGATAGCTATCCTATCCTATCTATCCCATCCTATCCAATCCTATCTGTCTAGTTACCTACCTACCTACTTATCTATCTACTTATCCTTGTCTATCCATCAGTCTATGTAGAGTATCATTTTACAAGTCAGGTCAAATCTCATAGGTCAAGGTTTGGTTAAAAGTTATGGGTCTGAGGCCATTGTTCCCAGGGATGTTCCTGTTCCTTCCTTCACTCCGTTATGCACAGGTGAGCTATGACAGCACAGTGTAGAATTCAGATTTCAGTGGTTCTTCTTTGAGCTACCAGAATAAAAACTGATCACAGGAAGAAACTGAAGATCTGCTACAAGAGTGTCACTCACCTGAAAAATGCTTCAGAGGAGGTCTAAAATCAGGTTGGTCACTTCTGTTTTTATTAAAGTTCCCTTACCCTGCACTCACAAAGTCATGCTTTCTATCTTATTTGAGTATTAAAGGCCATATAATAGCTGGTTATTTTCTGTGAGTCAACTTAATTCCACCAGGACCTGGATCAGCTTCTTCTCTCTGTCTCTTGTCAGCTGCCTGAGTGTGGACATGTCCTGTGACCTCTCTGAGGTTCAGACTGCACAGCTTGTTTGTATATTAGAGGAGATGATGTATACAGAGCTAAATGAACACAGTGGCTGGTCCATGGTATGCTCGATAAACAGCAACAAAGTCCTGTTCATCCTGTTTATAGCACAAACTCTCATTTCCTGGAAATGAATGGGATTTTCGGTGTAAAATATGCTGAATCAGGTCTTGGGGAGTCCTTATTGCCAACATGCAAACATCACAAACCCTACATGTACTTAACAGACCACCTAGCATTGTATGTAGCCACTGAAAATAATGTGCAGCTGCTCAATAAGGCAGAGCCTTTTGATTTGGGAGGAAGCTTTGGAAAGAAAATGTGACCAGCACTTATCAATTTTTTCCAAATTGTAAACTAGTCCCAACATTTCTCTAAACACCTCAGTCAAAGAGTAAGAGCAAGTCCAAAATGGGCTAAGAAGAAAATGTAACAAATCATCAACACTGGAAAGTGAAACAGCAGACATACACACCCAAGTGTCCTACTTGCAGAGCCTCATGCTTGTCACTGTTTGTCCTGGGCCCCTCAGCACATGATGCCCAGGAGTAGGCTGCCAGCCCAACCACCTGTCTGAGAAATGGGAAGGGCACAACAAGAATCTGCTCCCTGCCTCCATAGTTGCCTTGGGGAAGCTCAGAGAGTTGGGTCATCCAAATGCAAGCCCACTATCAGTTCATGGCTGACTTGAGCAGGGAGTCTGAGTGTCCTGTTCCTTTTTGGGGAATGAGGGAGGTACCATTTGAATTTTCCTTGAGATTGTTAAGTTCCTGGGGGAGGAGGGAGGTCATATGCCTTTACCATCAACCACCACGGCAGTCAGCAGGCCCTTTCTCTTGCTGCTCAGCCGGTCATGGGTCTGGCACTGCTGGTCCCGGAAGCTGGGTAGGCCCTTGGGGCAGGGCAGGTTCTCGCAGGCAGTGTGCTCCACGCTGGCTCCCAGGCAGTGTGTTCCTCCAGGCCCAGGGCTAGAAGGAACAGAAGGGTGTGCATTAGCCAGACAGTGATGCAGAAATAGTAGGGTGCTCTGATTTTTCCTGTCTGGCCAGGAATGGGAGGGGGTAGGGCAAGGTTTCTGAAGCAACCCCCTCTGCTTTTGCAGACAGACTGTATCTCAAACATCCCAGACCTATGCTGACAGCCTGTGTAAGTGAGCTGTCAAAATGATGAATCTAAGAACCACAACTCAAGGTCATCTGGAAATAGAATATAGTGTTGTCAGTTCAGCAGGGTTCACAAATTATACTTCTCGTCTGAGCTTAAAACTTGGTCATCTGTAACATGAAACATCCCAAGGGGGATTGTTGTGTCTTTTTTATGTGTGTGGGGGAGGGTTTTTTTTTTCAATGAAATGAAGACATTTAAATGACTCAAGTATATTTCCTACCACCCGTCTGTCAGTTTGTCATACTGTGGTGGCTTGCATGTTGATATAAAGCTGGAAGGTATTTCAAACACCAGCAGAGTCACTCAGAGTGGGAAGGTTTCAGTGGAGCTTCCAGACTAAGACAGACTAGGATGAAAGGCCTGACAATCTCCTTCCAAAAATCAGCCAGTGAAAACCCAATGGATTACAACAGAATTTTCTCTGATATAGTGCTGGAAGATGAGTTCTCTAGGTTGGAAAGCACTCAAATGAGACAGTGGCTGCAACAAGGGATTAAGGCATACCAACAATCACGAAGATGGCACAGCACCAGGCAATGTTCTGTTTTGTAGCATATGGTGTTGCCATGAGGTAGAGCCAGCTCGATGCTAACTAACAACAACAAAGTATACTCCAGAAGTCACTAAATTTCAGAATGAGTAAACAAATAGCTTTCATTTACTTTATAATGAAAAGACTCAGAATTATTAACTTCCTTATTCATGGGCTTTGGAGTTGTTTAATAATATTTAAAAGTTAAAATAATGTTAGAGATTTATTAGTTGATTATATAACTCACAAACTGGACAACACACAATATGAGACTGGGTGTTGCACCTAAGATGAGACTTATGGTGTTTTTATAGTCCAAGGAACAAAGAAAGCCAGGGAACTCCAAGCAGTTTGGATGAGCCTTTTGGATACTCATCAAAATGTCTCTTGAAATCCTTTCTTCACAATTTTGTTTGGCTAAGAAGAGAAACAACGCAGGTTTGAGGGGTCAATTTCTGTCAATCAGGTTTCTAAATAGCTTGTCTGGAATGTGGAGTTGTTAGTTACACATAAACGTAAAGAAATAAGCTAGTTATTATCTCCAAAGTTTAGGTTACTTAATATCTGAAACATTTGCCCTGTGAGACCAAGCAGCAGATGTTCTGGGGTGGACATAAATGACTCTACCTTGTTTTTAGCACAGCCACAGAGTAGAGACTAGTTAGACTGTAGTTCTGCTCTTTTCCCTGGGTGAGTGTGAGGCTATACTCAAAGGCATGGTCTTTGTCTAGATGTTCTGGGTGTAGATTGTGGTTCTAAGCAGTTCTGGAGACCCACATGTTCATTGGCAGAGTCCCCCTGGGTAAGGGGCACAGAGGGGGCTGACAGGACCACAATTCGGGTGGCTCATGGTAAGCCTCTGCTAGCTCTTCCAAAAGACCCCAGCATGTCCTCACAGGACTCTGACTTGGCCATCTTTATGATCTCTTTGAACTACATGATGCTAAGATCATGCTGATGGAGGAAGAGTGTTTTTGTTTGTTTCCTGAATTTTTTATTGAGGAACAACATGTGAGAGGAAAGGGCACAAATCACAATTCTGCTCAGTGAGTTTTCACAAACTGAACACACATCTTGGCAGGAGTCCCTGGGTAGTGCAAGCAATTAACATGTTTGGCTGCTAACTGAGTTTGGAGCCTCAGGTTCATCTAGAGGTGCCTCAGAATAGAAAATCTTATGGGGTACAGTTCTATCCTGATACACATGGGGTTACCATGAGTCGGAGTCAACTTGTGGCAACTGGGGTTTGGTTTTATTTGGTTGGCAGGATAATATTTTTGACATATTAACTAATTTCATTTTCAGTATTTCTCTTTCTCTCTTGGCCATTTCTCATGTTCAGACAACGAGTGAGGCTATCCTGTGATCAATGCCTTCGGAAAGAGATACATCAGCAGACAGTGGGAGACCAGGGGGCAGTAAACATTTTCTGTAAGTGGCCAGGTGGTAAATATTTGAGGCTTTGGAGGCTGTATGGGTTGCAAGTACTCAATTCTGCTTTTGTAGCACTAAAGCAGCCATAGACAATATGTAAAGTGTGACTCTGTTTGAATAAAACTTTATTTACAACACGAGACAGTGAGCTAGATTTGGCACATGGGTCATAGTTTGCCAATCCTGGCCTACACAACTACTTTGGAAAAAAGCAGCCTGAGTAGGAGGTAAGCTTCCTCTCTGACCTCAATGCTTGCCTCTTACCAGAAATCTTTTCCTTTGCCTAGCTGTAGGAAGCCTCAGAAGACTATGGATGCTGGCTGCCCTGGAGAGAAGGACTCTGAGTTCTGATTTCCAAGTGAAGCGCAGAGGGTATGCAAAATCTCTAGATGGTCTATGGGCTCTAAGAGCAACAGAGGGGCCTTGTGTTGTTTGCTACCTAAAGCCCTAGGGGGCAGCATATCTTTGAGAAATAATTGCCTGGCGTATTTAGGTAGATGGCACTGCAGACAGCCTCACCAGCACCCTGGGCCCAGGACAGAATGACTTGGCTGACATATGGCAGGCATTCAACATATACTTGTTGAGTGGGTAAGGAATGGGTTCTACACCACACAACACAGCATGGAAGGAGCAGAAAGTGATTGGTCACATGGACCAGCAGGAGGGACATCTCCATGACAACAGGTGGGTGCCCCTGACTGGAGACAAGATGGGGCTGGTAATGCAGCAGAACCTGTGTGGCCAGATGTTCCAAGGACCACTTAGAACTCAAATGTAGATTTGAAGAAGGTGGGGTGAGAACTCCTGAACTAATTGGGAAACTGATACCTACTGGAGAGGAGCTCAGAAATACAAATTAGGTTCCTTTCTAGAAGATATAGGAAGCTACATTTCTTACACACCTTAGAGTGTGGACCAAGATTTGCTCATGGTATATAATTAATTTCTGGAGTTATCATCGAGCTTCATTTTAGCTTCAGATTCATTCTTCAATTGGTTTCTACAGATTTATGTTGACCAATCCACACACACTGACTACCTTGTATGCTTGACAGTGGCCAGCTGGGGAAGAGGCTAAACGTGACATGAAAGAACTCCTGGATCCCACAAGAAGGTCTGGTGGTACAGTGTCTAAAGCATTTGGCTGTTAACCAAAAGGTTGGTGGTTTGAACCCATCATTCCATGGGAGAAAGATGAGGTAGTGTGCTTCTGTAAAGATTTACAGGCTTGGAAACACTATGAGGCAGTTCTACTCTATACTGTAGGTTTGCTGTGAGTCAGAATCAACTCTATGGCAGTGGCTTTAGTTTGGTTTTGGGTCCTGCAGAAAGCAGGCCTGGAAGGGGCTGCCCACAGGATAGTAGAGGCACCCTCAACTTGCTTCCCTCCCCAGAAATGCTTATTCTCCTTTTCCCATAGACAAGTCCCCATTTCAGTCCCCATCAAGTTCACTACCTCATCTTCCCTATTCTCCACTGCAAGCTCTCTGTCCACCCTTGAGGCCACCTCTTCTCTGCAGCCTATTTTATTTTCCTTTCTGGAGCCTCTCTTGACTTCATGTGAGTGTCTGCTACACTGTTCACCATGAACTTGAAGTAACAGTGACCTGGGTTCTCGTCTCCTCTCACTCCTATGCAGCCTCACCAGAGAACCCTGCACAAAATGGTCTTTAATAAACTGCAGTCAAACTGAGTTGCACTATACATTCAGGGTTTATCTTAAAATGACACAAAGTGTCGATGTTTTCAGTTTTCTCTTGCTTCACTATTTTGAACAGTATGGGAAAAAGGGAGAAGCAATTCACTAGGAACATGATTCACCACCCCAATAATGCCAGAGTCTATATGTGGGTAGAGTCCCTGGGTAGTGAAAATGGTTAACATGCTCAGCTATCAATCAAAAGGCTGGAGGTTCAAGTTTACCCAGAGATGCCTCAGAATAAAGGCCTGGTGATCTATTTCCAAAAAATCAACTATTGAAAACCCTGTGGAGCACAGTTGTAATGTGACACACATGAAGTCACCATGAGTCAGGCTACAGAACACTCAGCTGCTCCTTCTTCATGACTGTCTCTGTAACCCAGGTCATTGGACAGTCCCTGTGAGACTGACATCTGCTAGGGTCTCCTGGGCACATACTAGTCCCAAGAAAACAGAAAGGGGTCATTAATCCATGGGTGTAGATGAGACAGGAGGAGAAACTTTGGGGGAGGGTAGGTAACTGTAGGTAACTGACAGGGAGGTCCAGAAATGAGAGAAGTGGTATGTGAGAACCTGGAGGAGGGGCCTCCTTCCAGGCTGAGTGGGTGAAACTTGAGCCGTATAGGCATAGAGCCTTCAGGAGGTGAAGCACAGGCAGGAGGGACCATATCCACACAGGGGATAGAGACTGCACTCAAATCTGAGGCACAGAGGGCTGGGATTCACATACATTATACATATCTCTCTGAGCTATGCAGAAAGGATAAGACATCCAGAAAGAATAAAACCGAAGAAACATGGTTAAAGTGAAGGACCATTAAATCACAGAACTAATTAAGCAACAAGTAAAACAACTATTAAAATAGTAGAATTAATGATAGGATGGAGTTATCACTTTCTGAGAGGAAAGACAGAACCATGTCCTTCCCTCGGCCTCTCTCATGAGGGCAGGAGAGTACCACCTGAAGGGCATCACTGAGCAGGATCAAGGAAAGGTGAGGCATCAGCACATTTTACCTCACTTTGACATGAGGGATGGTCACCTGAGGACAAGGGGACAAGATGCAAGAAAGAGGCACTTTCAAATAAGTAGCAAAATGTAAAAAAGTAACGCTATACAACTCTTTACAA